TAGTCCGAAATCATTATTTCTTTAGTATCAGGTAGAAGATCACTTAGCCGTATTTTGGAAGTGAGATTAAAGCTTGCCATTACGTAGTTTAGAGTGCAATAACTGGTAGAACTGTAGTTTGATTTTATATTATACACCAATTCCAATCTTATCCAAAAATCTCTTTCCATTACTATGCTTTATCTGTAAGTACTTCAGGACAGGTTTGCTATTTTCCCATGCATGACATTTAGCTAACGGGTCCACCTAAACATGGTCAGAGTTAAAGTAATGGAATGGTTACACCATCCTAATTTCTGAGCTGGGGACATAATCTGTCCGCATCAGGGAAATCTCAACTGGTGTAATGCTGGTGGAGACCAATCCTAAACCAACCAATCAATACTCAGGGAAGGAAGCCCGATGGAGCAAGCCTTATTCCTCTACAGAAGTTCTCAACTCCATAGTCCTTAGGGATCATAGCCAGCTGTTGTAAATTACAAGCAGTGCCCACCTAGGTTTCTCAAATTTACTGCAGGGCTGAAGTAGTTTGAGAATTAGGAGGCTATACATGGTGCCCTGACATTCTCTTCTTCATGCTCATCATACCATGGCGGAGGAAATAATCTGGCCTCACAGTCTAATTATTTCATGAACAGAAGAATTTTGATTGTCAAATTTCCTATATTTATACGAGGACAATATCCATTGAAACATGTCGATAAGTATTTCCTTCAAATCCATAACATACTTGTATCACGCATCAATCTCCACTTCATATACTTTATTTTTTCCAGTGTATTAAATAACTCAGAAATTATTTTTTTCTTCGAAAAACACCCCTAATTGTAAATGTTAGTAATTATGTCATCCAGTAATTCATGAAGTCATGACCATGTAGTATAGGATAAAAATACACAAAAGACCAGATTTCAGGGGGAACAGGGAGGGGGACGGAAATCAGATTTTACAACCCGTGTTGCATTTTTCATGGCTGTGAATTTGATAGGTCTCTAGGTATGGTATAGGTTAAATCAGTTAAATAACTTTTCCAAAAAAGTTAACTGGGTTAAATAACTTTTCCAAATTCTTGTGATTCTAATAATAAATGTACGATCATTGTAGGGCTGTCAATTAGAGTTGACTCAAGCGATTAACCCAAAGCAAATTAACTAGATTAAAAATAGTTGTGATTAATTGCAGTTTTAATCATACTGTTAAATAACAGAATACCAGTTTAAATTTACTGTAAATATTTTTGATTTTTCTTTCAAAAAGATTGATTTCAATTAAAACACAGCGTGCAAATTGTACTGTGCTCACTTTATATTATTGTTTTTATTACAAATATTTACAATGAAAAAGATGAAACAAAAGATAAATAATATTTTTTAGTTCACCACACATAACTACTGCAGTGCAATCCCTTTATCATGAAAGCACAACTTACAAATTTAAGATTGTTTGTGTGCACATAACTGGATGCACAAGCAAAACAATGTAAAGCTTTAGTGCCTACAAATCTACTCAACATAGGCGCTAGAAAATGCTGCCCTCTTATTATTTACAATTTCATTTGAAAGTAAGAACAAGCAGTCTCCTGGCATGGTTGTAATCACCACTGGTAGCTATTTGCATGCCAAAGACACTAAACATTCTTATGTTCCTTCATGTTTCAACAATGCACATATTTGTAATAAAAAGAATATAAAGTGAGCACTGTACACTTGGTATTCTTTGTTGTCACTGAAATCAATATACGGAAAAAAATGTTTGAACTGGCCCTGTAAAAAGCTCTGTAAATCGGCATTTCTGATCTGCACAGAAAGTCCAGTTTAGAGTCCATTTGGTACAGCGCTGGCAGGCTCCCTACCTAGCTCCACATGTCTTCCTGGAAGCAGTGACATGTCCCTTGGCTTCTAAGTGGAGGAACCCCACCCCACTCTGAGCAGTGGCTCCACAGCTCTCATTGGATGGGAACAGCAGCCAATGGGAGTGGCACCTATGCATGGAGGCAGCACATAGAGCTGCCTACCCACACCTCTGCCTAGAAACAGCAAGGACATCTCACTGCTTCTGGAAAACCACCCAAGGTGAACACTTCCCTTGATCTAGGACCCCAAAACCATTCCTGCCTCCCAAACCCCTCCCCAAGCTCCCTCCCACTTTCAAACTAGAGCCAGAAACTCGCACTCCCTCCTGTGCTCCAACACTCAGTACTGAGCCTTCTCCCACACCCAAACTCCCTCTCTGAGCCCAATCCCCAAACCTCCTCCTGCAGACCAAGCCCCTCAGCCCCAGCCTCCCATACCCAGAACCTCTCATTTCTGGCCCCACCCCAAAGCCCACACCCCAAGTTTGGAGAAGGGAGTGGAATGGGGCGGGAAAGGGGGTGCAATGGTGTGAAAGGACAGAGGTGGCTCTTGGGAGAAGAGATTGGGTGAGAGGCAGGGCCTGAGGTGGGTGGGGGGGCGTCTAGCTCCCTCCATCTAGAGGGGAAGTTGATGTCTACGTTGCAAGTAACTTACAGAGACTATGAACAAACAGAACTTTCACCAAAAGCATAAATCACATTATGCAATAACTTTAATATGTTATATACATTTTTCCTAGCTTGAATAGAAATAAGGTAATTATAACAGATTATATGTTTCTCCCAGGTTCTATTCATTTTTATATTTATTCACTGTAATTTGGAAACATGGATTAACATTCCCAATAAAGTAAAAAGTCAGGCAGAGTTTGTATTCCTTGGAATCTAGTCTTCTGGATGAGGGAAATGCAGAATTATAGAATGATCCTTTGTAAACACAGATGTATATTATAGTTCCATCTCCTTCAAAATTAGCAAATGTCAAGAGCTAGGGTGATTGTTACATCACAAACATCAATTGAATATAAAGCACGCACCTCCGTTTCCTGGTTGAGGGGCACAAACTCTGGATTTCCATTGCACTTTCAAGATCATTGTACTGTATGCAAGTTGCCAAATAATTGTTGTTCTTTTTTTATGCAAATAAAGTACTATTTATTTGCAGCTGGCTATCCAAGAGAGAATGAAGAACAAGATGGCAGCAGAAGTGGCAAGTGGATAGCAAGCTAGAGATGTCGATGTGGATTTGGACACCTGATCTCTGGATAGTCCTGAGATCGGCAAAAGAGCATACAGTACCCAGCACTTGAAGATGTAAAACATGTTATATGCTACCAGAAAAGCAGTGGATTCATTTCCTTTCACCAAGCTCTAAGATATGATTCTCCCAAAGGGATGCACAAAAGATTAAGTTTCTGCACCATCTCCATTAAGGATGTAATGGAGTAACAATTGAAGGAACAGATATGACTAATTTAGGATTCCGTCAATGACATCAACACTGTCTTTTGAGTCAACTCAAAAGCTAATCATTTCAACGGCTGAAGTTAGCATTGCTTTGCACTGCAAATGAATGGGCGGGGGGGGGGGGGGGGGGGGGGGGGGGGGGGGGGGGGGGGGGGGGGGGGGGGGGGGGGGGGGGGGGGAGGGGGAGACAATGGTGATGAAGCCTGAGAAGCAGCAGATGCTAACGATGCCAGCTTGAAAATGAGGAAGTCAAGCAGTTCAACCACTTAAATTTCACAGAGTATGATGATGCTCCAATAACAGAAGGCATGTTCGAGGTTCACAATGGCCTGTCCAACACCCATGTACAGTAAATAAAGAGAACTGGGAAAAGAAATGAACACAAGCACAAAAGCCAAGCTGATACAAGGACTAAGTTGGGCAACTGTTATAGATAGGTGGATGTGAAAACACAATGGGTATGGAAAGCCGGACTTGTATGGCAGCAGGAAAGATAAGGTCTGAAGCATTTGATATATGGTACAGTTGTCAGCGATATAAGGAAAGATCAATCACTGAACACCAGGAAAATGAAAAGGGATTTTCATAGCTGTGGGAAGATCAAGATGTTAAAATTAGACTAGTTTCTACATCTCTCAAGATGTGGAGACCATCCGCAGGAGTGGGGAAGGAGCAGTACAGTGAAGCATGTCTTTCTAGGACTGCATGCATGCTTTCACAATAGTCATTCCAAGTAACCCAGCCAAGTCTTAAAATCACATACTGTGCTTTGCAAAAAATAAAAAAAATAAAAAAATCATTGTTTTACGTATGTATTTGATCAAGAAGACAGATGTTCTGGCTCTCAGTTAGCTTGGGGCATACCCACTGATTTCCCTCATGGGTGTATGGATAAAAAGGTGGGCACAGCTAGCCCCAACTGCCTTCAAATGTGATTGGGTTTAAACAAAGAGAGGGGGAGGGTTTTGTTTTCAAAGTGGCATTTTCAAACAAACTTCTCTAAACTGCCTCAGTTTTCACTAGGGATGTAAGTGTGTAAACGACTAAACTTTTAATGAAAAAGTGGAGGATTATAGGTTAACAGTGTCAGTTACACTCAGCCTCCTGGGAAGGTGGCTTCTCTGTGGCAGGGCAGCAAAGCCTCCTTCTCAGGAGCTGGGCGGGCTGTTCTGTTCCCGGGAAGGAGGCTTCGCTGCGTTTTTTTAGTGGTTACATAGTTACCCTATTACATGATTTTTAACATCCCTAGTTTTCACAAACCAACCTCTGTCATATTGAAAGCACAGTGGGGCTCAGGGAATATAGTATATACTGGTATATACAAAAGGGAATACACTATACACCAGTATACACATAATCTATGTGCAGTTTGAAAAATGACCCAACTGTGGTTGGGCCAAACCTATGGTGAGCAGCATAAAGGGGGGACAAAAATTAAAGAATAGCAAGTGTTAGGATTTTTGCGACTGGTCTCACAGAAGCAGGTGCCTCAAGGTGAGGTGTAGGGGACCTGCTTTAAAAATGCAGCAAAAACCCCCTTATTATTCATGTTCTGACTGTCTCTAAACATTTCTAATTTGGACAACAAATTATGGTGATTGTGGAGAAAACATTTGCATGTTCATTAACAAAAATTACTGAAACTAGCAAATGGAAGGGATTAGAGGATGTAATTTTTAGCTTTGGCAACTTTATGTGGAAACAGCACACAAAAAGTAAAAAAGAAAAAGAAATGTGCTGGTCTTCCAGAGATTTTGCTAAACCTAGTATGCATTGGAACCTGAGTACATGAAATCCTGTGAGATATAACCATCTTAACAATATGCACTCTATACATGGCAGGGCTGGCTCCTACTCACAGGAGGGAAATTACCAATACTAACAAAGGAAAGTAGATTTACATTGAGCAAATATACAAAAGCTCCAAATAATTATAATATTCCCCGCTTGGCAATGAGTTTCTAGACTACGAAATTACCTTTCTTTTGGAGGAATGAAGATTTTTACAAGGTTAGTATAAACAAAGAGTAATTGGAAAATCAAATTGCTCCTCACAAGTTATTGTAAGGTCTGGAATAATGGAGATAACGTTATAAGGGGCTTGCTTATGAATCACTATTTTTTTTTTTTGGCTTTTATATTCTTGTCACCAAAAATTGCTCTCTAGCCAGTGCAACAATGGGTGATATAAACAGAGCAATACAAATACCAGCTTACCCCTGAAACAATAAGTTCTCCTCCAAGATTTTGCACTTCTGCCTTCACCTTACTGCAGATATTGAGCTGGTGGCAATACAGGGCAATGCGCTGCAGATATGCTAACAGATCCTGCTTGCAGGCTGAATCAGGACACTGCAAGGGGACAAACAAATAAGCACAATTGATTAGTTCTAGCTCAGTTTATATGTTCATTATACAAAGGCAATCAGAGGAAAAATAGCCGTGTTGACACCATATTAGATTCATCCATTTCACTTAACCCCTTAGCAAGGAATGTGATGGGAACTGAAAGCTGTTCTTTACCGCTTCAATAGCTTGAGACTCATGAATTAAAATACGAAGATAGCTTGGGTGCTTTACAAAAATAATCTCTTTTTGTCACTTATCTCATGAATGTAAAGAAAACAAACTCATCTCTGTAGATGTTTTCTTGGGAAATCATTCAGTTTGTGGTAAACATAAGAGTCCACTGATGCATAACGCATTAGTTCATCTACACTGGAAGGAAATTATTTACAGTAATATAAATAACATATTATAGAAGATGCTTTCAGGCTTGCAGCCCTTAATAAGAAGGAAATGAAATAATCTGGACTCCTTGCATGTCTAAGCAATAAAATACATCTCACTGCTAATGGAAGGTCATCTTAAGTACTGTACCATTTTGACATATTCCACATGACAAAAATATGCAGATACAAATTACACTAGGTCAAGCTAAGTGGAATCTGTGAAGGTTTCTCGATCAATATAACCAGATAGAGCTCAAGTACAACTTAGTTACAGTACATTAAAATAAACATTTTATTAGGTACTGCACTATCCCCAACAATAATTGGCAGCATAATAGGCAGACTATCGTAGTTAATATTCCTAGACTTGCCTCTTAGCACAGGCCTGCATAATTCACATAAATGAAGCAGAGTTAAAAGGTCCCCTTCTTAAGCCTGCCAGTAAACAAGACAGAGCTACGTGACAAAGTCTCCCTTATAATATTGCTTAACTATGGAAATCAAAGCTTCCAAAACTTTTGAACTACACATTGAATCTCTCTAGTCAAGCATTCTCTGGTCTGGCAACATTCGTGGTCCAGCATGATTTTAGTTAGCTGGATGGCCACTTATCACGGGTGTGACCAAGTTTCCCTAAGTCCCATAAAGTTTGTTGATAGCCACCATTCCTGGTTCTCAGTATTCTGTGCTGTTATTAGCTCTAATTTACCTCTCAATGTCTTCTAACAGCCCTGTAAGTAGTAGAAGTGTTGGTAATGCTGCCAGACAATATTGACCTCCCGTGGTTTAGCAAATTTTCTGGTTCAGCACCGGACAGGATGGTTTAGCAAATTTTCTGGTTCAGCACCTGACAGGACCCAAGGGTGCTGGACTAGAGAGGTTCAACCTGTGTCTTCTTTAGGACATTAAAAGTGCTACATTCAGTTTTCCATTTTGGAGAATAAAACAACCACATGGCGTATCTAAATGAAACATGATCCGATTCAACACTCATAGCCCAATTGCTGCCTAAATTGTTATAATCACAATGATAAATAAGGCACAAAGGACAAGTTTACATTGTACATAGGCTGTAAAACAATAGCATTGGTCACATGCACACACCGCAGCCCCTAACTCTGAAAACAATCACTCTGCTTGATCTTTTGTCTTTCAGTCTAACAAACAAACAAGAGTTGGGCATATGTTGGGGCCAATGCGTTGTGTAATCTGTTCTGTATTTATGATAATTGCATAATGTCTTTCTCTCATGCAGTTGCATTATCTCCCAAGAGTGAATTCCCTAGAGACCTTCCCCACCTACTTGTGTCAGTTTAATACAGTAATATTTATCCTGCTCTTGCAGCCTATCAGCTGAAAGAAATTAACTTTAAAACGATACCTCTAGAGAGCTGACAAAGTTTTACATATAAGCACTTTGAATCAAATTAAGATGTAAGATCTTCCTCTTGGGGATAGTAATTAAGAATGAAACAGTCAATAAAAAAGTGTATACTGCATATAGGTCTCAAAAGTTCTGTAAAATATCATCATAGCCAAGGGATTAAGAGAGACATCTAACTCTCATATTGATTTAAAGAGGGGAAAAAAGTATAACTTTAAAGACTGTATTTTACATCAGTCTGAAGGGATGTAGATTAAAGACATGATTCAAGCCAATGTTCTCTAAACAAACTGTGTTCTGTACTTGACAGGTATTTCTTTATACTCTCCCACCTCTCAAAACACCAGAATGAAAACTGCAAGATCTCTAACAAGCATTTGACAGCTCTTTCGACAATAGGAATTGTTTTAAGGCAGGGATGGATTTTTCTCTCGGAAGAGATACCCAGCAGATCAAATGGGTGGAATTGGTCACACTGCCAAACTTCTCAGGATTTTAGGGAAGAGCTGCAGCTCTGTGCTTCTTGCAGCTCTGGGCCTGAATCCCTAGGAGGATGAATCTAATGTCATTCCCATGCTCCATAGATTAAATGGAATTCCTTGAGGGTGGTACAGGCTAGAGGTGTAAGCTTGTAGGGGACGATTAGGGAGTATCTCTGTGAGGATATCCTCCTCGCCTACAACTCCCACATATGAGTACACCATGTGAGTGGATGATCCAAGTCCTCATTCCCTTGGGGTCCTTTCTCTGTCTGTAATGTTTGAATTCCACATCAGATCCACGTCCTTTCTCTGTCTGTAATGTTTGAATCCCACATCCAAATCTTCAGAGAATTGTCTAGGTAGCAGTGGCCAGAAACACGTTCATTTTGATTTTGATGAAATTTGGAAACAGGAACGGGGCTAATGGGCAAAGCACTCTGCATCTTGGTGGCAGATACAACACCTCTGACTGCTGCTGTAATTGCCTATTGAGCAAAGAACCCATTTCGGGCAGCCAATAGCTTCCAGCATAACAATCCTTCCTATCTCAGCTCTGCCCATCCTCTCAGTACAATTTAAAAGGTTGCCATCCTGAATGACTTCTCTCCCAGGCAGAAAGAAAAGATAATGAAAATGGTACAGGAAAGGGGGCACAGAGTGCCCCTGAAATGGGGGCAGAATGAGGTGAAGTGACGTGAATGGGGGCCATGAGCAATGGGGGCACACACAATGTCATGGCATGACTGGAAAACAGGGGGCAATGGTGGGGGGGTGGCCATGGGGATACAAAGAACCCATCCCATATGATGCAAGGTGGCATGGAGAGGCACATGTAGCCACTGCCATAGTGGGGAAGGGAAGTATAGTGCAGAAGGAAGGAATGAGGGGGCACATCGAGCCCCTGGCATTAAAGGAGAACTGGGGACAATGGTATGAGGGACTGAGACCTGAGGATGGGGACGTTGAGCTCCTGGAATGGGGTAAAAAGGGGAATAGGCGTCAAACAGAATCACTGGAATGAAGGAGGGAGTGGTGGGGAAGGGGGTTGCATGGAATTCCTGAAATAGAAAAGGCTTGGAAAGTGGGGGAGTTAGCTGGAGGCCCAGGAGCCCTGGAACACGCAATGAGCTTAGCCTACAGCAGCAACAAAGCATATGGCCTTTTATTGCTTTCATCCAGCCACATTCTATTGCAATCATCACTTGTAGCATCATTTGTTCTGGATGAAGAAAGGGGATCCTAGTTCTTCCTGGGGTTTTCTGGGGTTCTTAAACTCGTTAACAGCTTCCCCACAGTATGCAACATACAAGCATCAAGCACAGAAGGGTGTGTACAATCCCCTGTTAAGTAAGGACAACAGTGAGGAGGTTGGAGTATCTCAACTTATCTTGGTGTACAGTAGCTGATTCTATTATTACTTAGGGGGCTTGATTTCTGAACTGGTAACTTTAAGGGCTGCAGTGTTGGCTTCATTCCACTGAGAATGATCTTACTAATCTGACTAGAGCGTTACAAACAGCCTGTTTTTGGTCATTAGATCACAGCACTAGAGGCTGCTTAACCATATAGAAGATTTGTATTGTCTATGAAAATGCTACTGACTGACTGATTCATATTAGATATGTATTTGTTTGTGACATTACCTGGTCAGCTACTGCTCGTGCCAATTTGTCCATTCTGGAGCCTGCTTCTGCAATCTTCTTGGCAGCATTAATGACATCGGATGTATTCTTCAATGGCCCCTTCCCTCTGCAAAGAACTGTATGGTTACACTACAATCCAATTAAATCTTGACACAATTGTAATGTTCTAACTCAATATTTGATTATTTATTTTATGAATGCCTTCCTAATTTACCGCAACTTCACCTTGGACTTAACTACTAATTATACTAGTGCTTGATTAAGAAACGGGGTCTGTGATATTTCTTTTCACATGCAAAATGCCTCACACGCAGTTTAATTTGATAGTGCCTTCAAGCACATGAACTATGTTTAATAGTATGTGCATTTTTAAGTGCTCATTAGGAAGATGTCCCTGAAGGAATACAAAACTTTTTAAAAATTCTGTTATTCCCAGACCAGTGCTTAACACCAAATCTGCCATGTCTAGTGCAGACATGTCACATTAGGAAATATCTTCTCTTAGATTTCTGTCATAAAATTGCTAAGCTACCTTAGGCATAATTCTGTTGTACTTAAATCCTGGCTTGATTTTATTTTCAAATTTATTACTAGTCTGTCTCTCTTGATACTTGTAATATGATGTAAGAAACACTCGTTCTTATAAACAATGGGACCAGCTAACTCCTTTATAGTAATTTTCACTTGTATATCCCAAAGTGCTTTACAAAGTAGTTCAGTACCATTAATCTTACACATGGGAAACTGAGGTGCAAGAGGAGAAGTTACTTGCCCTAAATCACTCAGCAAACCAGAGGCAGAACCAGGAACTATACACTGCTGGTCCTCTGAGTCCCAGTCATCTCACTAGTGACCACCTGTGCTTTTATGTCACTCCAGCAATTTGGGAGTTACTCCATTTTAATGCTGCTGAAAGAACAACAAGAAGTCCTGTGGCATCTTATAGATTAACAGATGTATTGGAGCATAAGCTTTCGTGGGCAAAGACCCACTTCGTCAGATACATGTTCAGATGCTGCTGAAATCACTCCAGGCAAGGGTGGGAGGTGGATTGGTTGGTTGCTTGTTTTTAGTGGAAGATGTTAAAGGAGACTTTGTTGAACCTGGTGTTGACAGAGGCACTAAGGTTCACTTTGAGATTTTTTATTTACTCCAAACAGGACTGGCTTTTGCTGTCATTTTCACATTATTTCAAATTACAAAGTTTTCAGTTGGAAGACCAAGGTACTAAAATGTATGGAGTGTGTGGTAGAGAAACTTCTGTATTCTGATCCCCTGAACATCACCTCTCCCTCCCCAGAACTGATTGTGGGGCATGAGGAACTTTTCATTATACTTCAGGAATTAAAGGTGAATGATCCAGACCAAAGAAAGATGTTTTATGTCCCTTACAAATCCTCTGTCTATAAGGATATGACTAGACTACAGGGTTTTTTTCGAAAAAACAAAGTGGCCTTTTTTCGAAAAAACTTCACTTGCGTCTAGACTGCTGTCGTGTTCTTTCAAAATTAAATCAAAAGAACGCAGCATTTTTTTCAACAGCGGTAAACCTCATTTTACAAGGAAGAGTGCCTTTTTTTGAAAGAGTTCTTTCGAAAAAAGGCATTCTTGAACTCAAACAGGGCTTTTTTGAAAGAGAGTGTCCAGCTTGCCTGGGTGCTCTATTTCAAAAAAGCAGATTGCTTTTTCGAAAGTCATGTGGCTGTTTAGACGATCTCTTTCGAAAGAGCTCTTGTAGTCTAAACATACCCTAAAGGTCTTCAGTATAGGAGTATGCACTACAACAGGATTTATGCTAGACAACAGGAGTGTAGGTTTGGTGAATCCTACTACTAGGAAAAGAGGATGATTACAGAAGCACAAACAAGTAAACTGAGGAAAACACAATGCAATTTAGAAACATTTATGCACGTACCTACAGTGTAATTAGTGGTGTGGCTGCAATATGTGCTGACGTATAAAAGCTAGTTTTGACCTAGCTACTCAAATGACAAATAGCCAAGAAACCATGACATTTTTTTGGGCAGCAACATGAGAAATCCAGGATCCTAGACAGGCTTGTCCCATCTATGGTGCTGCTGTATCTATACAGTCCAACAATAATTGGTGTGTGGGGGAGGGAGGTTCCTGTTACTAGAAAGCATGTAAGTGACTAAAATAGATGAAGAAACATCGCTGAAGATATTTTACATGAATAACTGAATGTTTGATTTCTAAATCCTGAAGAAACTGAAGATTTGTGTCTTGTAAGAAACACGAAGGCTACGTCTAGACTGCAAGCCTCTTTCGAAAGAGAGTGTCTAGACTGCAACCTCTTCTTTCAAAAAAGTGAGCCGCTTTTTCAAGAGAGAGCACCCAGGCAGTCTGGATGCTCTGTTTCGAAAAAGCCCTGTTTGCATTCAAGAATGCCTTTTTTCGAAATGAAATGAGGATTACCGCCATCGAAAGAAAAGCCACATTCTTTCGATTTAATTTTGAAAGAACGCGGCTGTAGTCTAGACACAGGTGAAGTTTTTCGAAAAAGGCTACTTTTCTCGAAAAAAACCCTGCAGTCTAGACACAGCCTAACTGAACTGAAGTTTAAGACTATGTCCACACAGCAGCGTTATTTTCGGATGTTATTCCAAAATAACAAAGAGCGTGTCTACATTGCAAGCTGTTATTTCAAAATAATTGCAAGCTGGAGCACTTCTTACTCCAACTCCTGTAACCCTCATTTTATGAGGAGTAAGGGAAGTCGAAGGAATAATGTTCTTCCTTTGACTTCCTGTTGCGTAGACAGCAACAAAAGCTGCATGAAGCTATTTTGACTTACGCTATGCAATTGAAGTTGCGTAGCTTAATCTGACTTTTGCCCTGCTATGTAGATGTGCCCTAATTGATTACAGAAATGCGTAATTCAAAGACCCATAAAAATGGTCTCACCAGTCCGATTTTGTTTATATGTAACCTTAAGGAAGTGCCTTTTGATGCACTGTAATTAGTCTCAGAATGAGTTCAGGGCAGTTTTTGCCATTATTTTTATTGATATTCATTGTGATGAAATCATGAAAGTTCAGCAAGACTTATGCATTTCGACTCGTACTACACAAAAGTTCATTTGAGGGCCTATAAATTCACACATTACTCTTGCTGCACCAATTCTGCTGATGTTAAAGATGAACAAATAACTAACAAAAAACTATACAAATTTAATCTGAAGTGGTGAAATGTCCAGAATAACGAGGTGAAAGGAACTGTGTGGGCATGTCAGCAACAACGTTCCCCCTAAGCTGCGTGGCAGCACAGCTTCACAGGTGATTAATCAGCTCCAGCCAGTCAGTCAGCTCCATGCACGGAGCCTTGAGCCTCTGACTGGGCAGGGCTGATGAATCACCTGAGAAGCTGTGCTTCCACGTAGTTTAGAGCAGTGGTGCGCAACCCGTGGGTCACGACCCCAAAGGGAGTCACGGATGTCTTCCCGGGGGGTCACGGTACTTAGATCTGGCCGTTTGGGGGCTGGGCCCCGCCATTGGTGGCTGTGCGGTGTGGCACTTAGATCCAACCAGCCAGGGACTGGGTGTGGCCACGTGGTGCTTAGATCCGGCTGGCTGGAGGTTGGGCCTGGCAGTTGGCGGCCGCTGTGGCATGGCACCTAGATCTGGCCAGCTGTGGGCTGGGTCCAGCAGTTGGTGGCCCCCACAGTGTGGGGGTCATATATCAAAAAAGGTTGTGCACCACTGGTCTAAAGGGAATGCTCGTCAGCAACCTTTGTGCTTTAAGCTGCCTTTATATCCCCCCAAACCAAGAAGTCACTAAGGAGTCTCGAATGTAAATGTGCCTGTCTGATGTTTGTTCTGGCCCACCGGTAGAAAGTAAAGTGCCTCCCTCTACCACTGATTTCCCTGGGACTACTCATGTCATTAAAGTTAGGCATGTAGTCATGTGCTTTGCTGAATGGGTGTGGAATTGTTCTTGTGCGTAAGTGTTTTACTGAATCAATGTCTCATTTCTGAACAGTGTTTAAACAATATTGAAGATGGCCTTTGTGTTTAAAAGCAAATATGCAGTGCAGCGACTATAGAATCAATAATATTAGATGTGCTATAGATACATGACCTACACATAGTAAACACGCTCAAAGTTCCATAATAAAGAAATGATGCGGGGTTGTAGAGGAAACACTCAGTATAAATTATTTTGTGCTTACCTAGTAAAATCTGTCATCTCCATCATAATCATGCACATCTGCTTTGCCAACACAATGATGTCATTACCACTGTCATCCCATTTGGCCACCTCAGCATCCAGTTTGCTTTTTTCTTGGTGGAATATCTCTACCTGCTCCGCAATCTTTGCCTTCTCTTCCTGGGGCAGTTGAGCCATGATAGCCTGGATAAAATGTAGAGTAGTTGCTCATGAACAAATGAAAGCTAGAAGTCATTTAAGGTTCTAAGCATCTCAGCTGGCACAGAGCTGAGCACTCGCAACATCTTCAGGGGGAGCTGAGGGGATAAAATCTGTCACAGCTGGCACTCAGCACTTTTTAAGATAGGATTTTAATTCTGTAAGCTGCAAATAAACCAATGAGACAAACAGTTTCTTCAGAAAGGATCTGTCCAATAATTTCACACTCAACATAAAAACTGAGACATCAAATGCACAGGGACTCCATACTGAATAGCAAACACCAATCAAAGTGTACAATAGATAGTGCCAGACCCTCACCTGGGGTAAAATCAGCATAGCTCTACTCACTTCAGTAGGATTACACTGCTTTATACTAGTACAAAAGGTGACTCCTCCAGTGAAATTTGCCATAAATGCGTCCTGTTGTCATAAGGCAACCAGATTGTTTGGTAGAAGGTTTAGCAGAACCACACAACAAGCAAAGAATTGGAATTGTCACAGGTGTGGTTCCGAACGGTCTTTTAAAACAGAGATACCTGTTAGAGATGGTCTTAACTGCTGATTTCACTGTAAGTGCATTCACACTATTCAACATTTTAAAATTAAAGTCTGTATGTTAATAACATGGTCCCACTTTTGTTTTCATGACACTAGCTATATCAAGAATAATTATTGCATATTCCTGTAAAACAAAGGACTTTTATTGTCCTTATTAAACATTTGCAATTCAAAGGCTGCATATCTATGACACCGTAGACTGCAGAGAGTAGGTAAAAGCCATTACAAGACAGGAATTTTTTATTATATCTGAAACATTAGACAGATCAAAATTGAAGGAACTAACACTAACAGGCAGCCCCATTGTTTGGCTGAGCTTCAAACACCTCCACCTCTGTCATGTCTTCCTGTCAGTCAGAAACACTCGGGCTTTCTACTTAACTTGAGGTTGAAATAAGACATGGCATACAAGGGAATATGTTTAAAATGAACTGTATGAATATACCTTTCAATAACATTTAGTGGTTTAATTGGTTCTTGGATGATATACAAAATGGCACTAACTAGATTGATTCTAATTTGCCTCAACTATTAACAAACTAAAAGGAAAATTACCCCCCAAATAGTAAGGTTATGAAAGTTGCTTTTGAAGATCAAATGGACACTTCCAACAATGATTCTCGAGCTGAGATACTATTTGGCTTCAGGGTTCTGAAGACCACATTATGCATTTAATGGGGTGTGACACATTTAAGTGTCGTTACATTTTTTCTTGTTTATGTCACTTTCAATCAGCTGAAGTCTTTCTCTACATATTCTTAAAATGCTCTTGGCTTTTAAAAATTCATAATTGACCTTTTCCAAAATGGGAATTAAAAAAGGTTATCTATAAACAGTGGATCAGAAAATGAGAAATTTGCAAGTTAATCAAATTAAAATTCAACACATGAGTTTTAATTAGGCCTTATCAATGTAACTCAGCGGTTTCAAATGTTAACACATTAGTCTTCCCACAGAAAAATGCAGTGTAAGTTAAATTCTCACTCTCTGAACACTCTAGAACTGATGAATTCATTGTAACTAATGGGATGTGAAGCTAAAAATCTGTATGCTCAGAAAACTAAGGCCAATTTGTATTACTTGTGGTTGGTTCCTGTCTTTGTGGACAGTCTAACCTCAACTTCTTAGTGCTGGTGCAGTATGACTTAATGATTCTGCTTCAGTTGTTGAGGCATTTCTAAGAAGCCATATCCAGCAGCAAATGCAGCTTGTATATCCAAATATTATCTCCTGTCAAAGACAGACACCAAGCCTTACCACTGAAATGCTAATAGCTTTTGTGGAGTTGGCATATTACACAATCAATTATAGCCTCTAACTAAGCCCTAGCTTTTCTCCAACAAGGTATCTATACGGCATGATCCTTCAAGAGGCTGAGTACTGGAGGGTTAGAACAGGAATAGCTAGGAGGACGTGGCCCCATTAGTTTTATCGGGTGAGCAAGGGGAATGAGAGGGGGGTGGACAGGAGTGAGCAGTGAGTGGGATCTTGGAGGGAGAGGTGGAGTGGGCACAGGGCCACAGGGAAAGA